AGTCTATTTTATCTGAGTATTGCTACTACAGCTTTCTTTTGACTTCCATTTGCAGGGAATATGTTTTTCCATCCCCTCACTTTCAGTCTGTATGTGTCCCTAGGTCTGAAGTGGGTCTCTTGTAGATAACATATATATGGGTCTTGTTTTTGTATCCATTCAGCAAGCTTGTGTCTTTTGGATGGAGCATTTAACCCTTTCACGTTTAAGGTAATTATCAATATGTATGTTCCTATTACCGTTTTCTTAATTGTTTTGGGTTTGTTTTTGTAGGTCCTTTTCTTCTGTTGTGTTTCCCACTTAGAGAAGTTCCTTTAGCATTTGTTGTAGAGCTGGTTTGATGGTGCTGAATTGTCTTCGCTTTTGCTTGTCTGTAAAGCTTTTGATTTCTCCATTGAATCTGAATGAGATGCTTGCCAGGTAGAGTAATCGTGTTTGTAAGTTCTTCCCTTTCATCACTTTACGTATGTCATGCCACTCCCTTCTGACTTGAAGAGTTTCTGCTGAGAAATCAGCTGCTAACCGTATGGGAATTCCCTTGTATGTTATTTGTCGTTTTTCCCTTGCTGCTTTCAATAATTTTTCTTTGCCTTTAAGTTTTGCCAATTTGATTATTATGTGTCTCAGCGTGTTTCTCCTTGAGTTTATCTTGCATGGGACTCTCTGCACTTCCCAGACTTGGATGGCTCTTTTCTTTCCCATGTTAGGGAAATTTTAAACTATAAGCTCTTCAAATATTTTCTTGGGAGCTTTCTCTCTCTATTCTCTTTCTGGGAACCTTATAATGCTAATGTTGTTGCATTTAATGTTGTCCCAGAGGTCTCTTAGGCTGTCTTCATTTCTTTTCATTCTTTTTTCTTTATTTTCTGCCACAGCAGTGAATTCCACCATTCTGTCTTTCAGGTCACTTATCCATTCTTCTGCCTCAGTTATTCTTCTATTGATTCTTTCTAGTGTATTTTTCATTTCAGTTATTGTATTGTTCATTTCTGTTTGTTCTTTATTCTTCTAGATCTTTGTTTAACATTTCTTGCATCTTCTCCATCTTTGCCTCCATTCTTTTTCCAAGGTCCTGGATCTCCTTCACTATCATTATTCTGAATTCTTTTTCTGGAAGATTGCTTATCTCCACTTCATATAGTTGTTTTTATGGGGTTTTATCTTGTTCCTTCATCTGGTACATAGCCCTCTGCCTTTACATCTTGTCTATCTTCCTTTGAATGTGGTTTTTACTCCACAGGCTACAGGATTGTAGTTCTTCTTGCTTCTGCTGTCTGCTCTCTGTTGGATGAGGCTAAGAGTCTTGTGCATGTTTCCTGATAGGAAGGACTGGTGGTGGGTAGAGCTGGCTGTTTCTCTGTTGGTCAGAGCTTAGTAAAACCTTAATCCACTTGACTGCTCATGGGTGGGGCTGGTTTCCCTCCCTGTTGTTTGTTTGGCTCGAGGCAACCCAATACTGGAGCCTACCCGGGCTCTTTTTTGGGGCTAATGGCAGACTCTGTGAGGGCTCATGCCAAGGAGTACTTCCAGAACTTCTGCTGCCATTGTCCTTGCCCTCATGGTGAGACAGAGCCACCCCCACCTCTGCAGGAGACCCTCCAACATTAGCAGGTAGTTCTGGTTCAGTCTCCCCTGGGGTCACTTCTTTCCCTGGGTCCTGATGCACACACTACTTTATGTGTGTCCTCCAAGAGTAGAGTCTCTGTTTCCCCCAGGTCCTGTCGAAGTCCTGTAATCAAATCCCACTAGCCTTCAAAGTCTGATTCTCTAGGAATTCCTCCTCTCATTTCTGGAACCCCAGGTTGGGAAGCTTGACGTGGGGCTCAGAACTTTCACTCCAGTGTGTGTACTTCTGTAGTATAAGTGTTCCCCACTTTGTGAGTCACACACCCAGCAGTTATGGGATTTGCTTTTATTGTGATTGTGCCCCTCCTACCATCTCATTGTGTCTTCTTCTTTGTCTTTGGATGTGGGGTATCTTTTTTGGTGAATTCCAGTGTCTTCCTGTTGATGATTGTTCAGCAGTTAGTTGTGATTCTGGTGTTCTCGCAAGAGGGAGTAAGAGCATGTCCTTCTACTCTGCCATCTTGAACCACCCGCCATCTATTTTTAATTGACAGAAGCACAATTACCAGGAACTGAGACCTTGCAAGAAGCCCACTACCCTTGACTGATGATCACTATTTCTTGGGCTTCTTGGGCTTCTCCACAAGTCTCTTTAAATTCCAATTAAGTAGCAGCAAAGGGTGAACCTAGCAACCAGGGTGTAAAATAATTGTCCTTCATCCTTGGAAGTCAATACAAAACTTTCCTTGGTGAGTTTGAATAAAAAGCAAACCCTTGGCAAAAGAATACTCTGACAAGATTGCATCCCTCCAGCTCTGAAGAACTAAGCCAATAGTGTATTGTTTAGAAAGAAAGAGCTTATACTTTATAAAACTCTCCTTCCTTCCCTCACCTAGATTATTTCTTTTCTGTATTGTGTGCTGTTTTATTGAATGGCTTGGGCAATTCAGGGTGAACACTTTAAACTTCTCCTTTCAAAGACTTGAATTGAAAATATTTTTAGTTGGGCTAGTTAAGTATACCTTGACAACTGTGCACAATGCTTGTCTTAGTTTGATGTACATTTTAAATAAAAAAAGAAAATTTTTGATAGATACTAAAATGAAGCTTCTCTTCCAAAGTCAAATATTACTTTTGATTCCATTTTTTATTTCATTTATTAATGTTTCATGCCTTTTCTGTTGCTGTCTAAATATTCTCAAAAGAGGTTAAATCTTCTTTATTTACTTTAAAACACCTTTCCATAGGATTTCAAGAATTTATATAACTGTACGCTATGCAGATCTTTTCTTTTGTTCTCTTTCCAGTACATAAACTTATGTTTAATTCTATAGATTTCAGAAGAGTGCACATGGTATTATTTATTCAGAATTCTATTGCCTTTTACATTCTTTTGTACCAAGCAGGAGAAAGTCCTGTACATTAGCCCAGGCAACAATATGTAGACAACCATGTTGCATTGACAGCAAGATGAGGCAACCAGCATTTATAAAAGTGTGAAATATTGCTATTGGTTTTCTCTTCCATAGAATCATTGACTCCATTAGCTTTTCTCAATTCTAAGCACTGTGAATAAAATATACTCTTCAATGTGGAAAAATACCACTGTAAACAAAAGAAACATGAGTGAGACACCATGACAATTAACTTGAAGACAGATCCTTCCTTGAGTTTCTGACACCAAAATAGACTTGATGAACCCATCAACATATAAGTACATAAACTACTGTAGTGCAATTATACTTCTGGAGAATAGCAGCAAACTTATTACACAGAATTATGACACACCTGAGGGTAGGATGGTGAGCTGTATCTCATGATCCTGGCTCAGGTTGGCAGGAGGGAGGTTCTTAGCAAACATTTGTTACATAGATGTTGAATAATCTGAATTTCAACATTATTATTTACAAATTTTATTTCTTTATTTTTGATTCATTATGTAAAATTCATGAACACTTATATATTTGACCATAAAATAAACCTAAGGTGTTCTCAATTTTAAATCATTATGATGCAAGTTTCTTTTGACTGATTAAAAGAAAGAGAGAGAAAGAAACTTGAAACAGTAATATAACAATTGTAAATTCAGAGAGGTTTAAATAACTTGACCAAAGTCATTTAAGTTGAAAATGTCAAAACTGGAATTTCAAATTCAGCCTTGACTTCAAATGCCTGTGTTCCTTCAAATTTGTCACACAAACTCCACTTAACGAAGCATATATTTAAATTACACATGAATTCCCCTGTTATTTTACCAGCCTTCGAAAATTACACAACTGTAAGGAGGAAAAAAATTCTCTTTATTTGTTTCAGTTTTTGTGTATTGTTCCAGGATTTTAAAAGTTAAATTCAGGACATGATTAGAGTAAGTTTTGGTTTTCCAATAAATGTTAAGTGATGATAAAGATCAATAAAAATCCTTCCATCACAGTTTTAAAATCTGTGGTTCCTGCAAATGTTGAACCAATACTAATTAGGCCAGCATTCAGAAAAACAAAAATACATTTTGGCCAATAGCTCCTTGGGTATATATCAGATGTTTTCAATTTAATTTTGTTATGTTTAACCAAATTCTTTAATTTATTTATTTATCAATTCCACTGCATTGATACTATATTATGGGCCTTTCAGTATTCACACCCTGAATTTCTATTTTAGGCCTCACTGGTTTTGTTTTTCCAAGAATTTCAAGGCAATATTTAGCATAGAAAATATACACTGTGAACCTATTTTTATTCATGCCATTGGTGCAAAATCAAATCAAATAGGTAAGCAGAGGAACTATGTATCAGAAATAATATCTTCATATCAAAATCAATGGACAGAAAGTCAGCATATTATTTCCTTACTTACTGTTAGTTTACCATACATAACACATTTACAAAATTGATCAAAATGGAATGCATGTTATAAAACACAAAAATTATACTGGCTTATTCGATTTCTTTTGAGTTTATAGAAAAATTAAAGTGTCCACTTTGTTTCTACTGCTAAACCTTGATTTTTTTTCCAATCCATTACCTAATCCATTTAAACCGAAGTGAGGAAATTTCTAACATTATGTATGAGTCCTAAATATAAGTAAACAATTAAATGAACTCTATCAGTTAGTATTTCCTGTTCGAATGTCTTTTGGATCCATGATCACTTTGGATACACTTAGCAGACTTTCATCCAATGTGTCATTAACATTCGTTTAAGAATTCAATGTATGAATGAGTTTATCTTCTTCAAATAAAAGGTCAGCTAATTAGGTTATTAGGTGAGTGTATCTCCTATAATTACTTTGGTCTTACAACCACTGAATCCTTAAGAGTAATCTAAAAGTAAAAAATTTCTATCATTTATTAAGCTCTTTATACAGGAGATAAAATGTAATAATGTTGTTTATTAAAGGAATAAATAAGACACAACCATATTTCATCCAAGCTTACCTTGAACTGGTCCATTTTGCATGATTTCTTTCATTATCTCAGTTTCCTGGAAGGAAAAAAATCAGTGAGCACAATTTCTGTTATCAGAGCACACTAAACCTATTGTTTGGTGTGTAATGTTAGGTACTGTACAATCAGTTTAGGAATTATGCAACCCAGTGTGCCTTGACCACTTGCAATTTACTCTTAATCATCTTTTGAAATACTCACATGTGAATTGCCACATTGATGAAGTTGCTAAAGACAAGACACACACACGTTTCAATGACTCTTACCACTGACAATAATTTTGGAATGAAGAAAAATACAAAGATGTTTATGGTCACAAAGGAAAAATAATTCAGTTAAAACTCTGTTTATCAGTAGAGATTAGTGTCATCTCCATTCTTAGGATCACAAAAGCGATCCCAGAAGATAGTGAGGTTCCTCAGTTTTAGCATACAAATATTTCTCTGTTGTTGTCCCCTGTGTAATGCAACCCTTAGGAAAGAGGCAGGTCATTCATTCATGTATTCATATAAATGTGAGCACATTTATATGTAAATGTAAAGACAAGAAACTAGGACAGAAAAAAATATTGACCTTGCCTCTGTCCTGAAGATATTTGCATTTTGGTGGAATAGACAGGCACTAACAAAACTAATTGCATTATGAGATACTAAGTTTTATTACAGAGACAAGCACAAAGTGCCATGGATGCAAACAAGAAAGGGACATTGGTTCTGCCTAGGAGTCAAGGAAAAACTTCTCAAAGAAGATGAAGTTTTGACCTACTTCCTTGACATGGAAGTAGGTGGGATAATCATTTGGGTGAGAGGAATCATCACCTGGCTAAGTAGAGAAGCATGAAGGTCATGGTGCATCTGGGGAGCAGACAGCAGGTCAACTTACCAGGAGCATTATGGGCAGGTGGGGGGGTGGGTTAGAACCTGGTGGGAAATGAATCTGTGAAAGCAGTAGGTCAGAACCAAATCATGAAGCCCTGTATGTCATGGTAAGAATGTCAAACTGTATTCTATAGGTATCTGGAAGCCATTGAAGTTTCAAATATTCTGAAAATGAGAATGTCTTGGTGACACTGATACAATGGAGTACAATTTTCCTAGGCTTTTAACATGATAAACTGGAATCCAAGAGAATCTTTTTTCCATTATGACTGTGTCCATTTCAATTATTCTGTGGAGTAAGGCAAAGGATTGATAAAATGAGTTACTATCACAAAAAAGTCAGTGAAAAAGGTTTTGCTGTAGCCTTTATCTGTCAAGTATTTATGTATATACATATATATATATACATATATATACATAAAATTATAAAACTTTATTTCCATGGGCATTTTTGAATTTAAGGCAATCATTTGGACTGCTAATACTACAAAGATCAAAAATTATACCCAAATTGGAGGTCATTAATAGACATCTTAAGAATATCAAAAATTATACCTGAAAGCAGAGCATTATTTTAGAATATACTAGTTTTTAAATAGTTTTAATAACAGTAGTATATATTTTTGAGAAAGTTAACCCTTTCTAATTCTTGCGATTCAGACTTACATTGGAAGAGACCCTGTATGGAGGAGAACATTGGTAGATCCTATTGGATTTCTCGATGCTGTTGGGACAGGGCTTGGTGGCATGTCGCTTTCCCCGTCCATCAGACCTACTTGTCATGGCGCAGCCATTATTGGTAGCATTTTGATCCTTGAAAAGTGGATAGCATGCATGGGATACCAGTCTATGAGGAATAAGCAAAGATGTCAATATAATACTTAGGAAAATGCCATAATTACCTATCTATATGCAATTTTACTGAATAAAACATTTGTAAATTATTCTGGCTACGTACATGCAAGTTTAATGACATTGAACATAGTCGTTCAATCATATTAATTATTCCCCACCCCATTCCTATTTCTTCATTATAATTTTTTTTCATGGAAAGGCATTTTATTTTAAATATAGCAGTGTGTACATGTCAATCCCAAACTCCCAATATATCCCTCCCCTGTACCCCTTTCCCCCGGTAACCATAAATTCCTTCTCTAAATCTGTGAGCCTGTTTCTGTTTTATAAATAAGTTCATTTATATAATTTTTTTAATATTTTAAAATCTTGCTCAAATCCATTATAATAAATAAATTTATCTACTGAATAGAATTTTCCAAAGATGAAAATTGTTCATCAATTAAATCCGTGGTAATATTAATAGGGGAAGGACTCCTTAAGTCTGCATCTATAACGATAATGTAGAAGAGCCAAATTTAATGTGAAAGAGAATGAACTTTATCATACTCAGATGTAATATTCTGATAAATTATGTAAGTTTTAGAATTAAGGGGTTTTTTTTACATTTTTATTAAGTTATAGATACCTTCTCATAAGACTTCAATTATTATGTGTCTGTAGTTCATGATACTTTAGAAGGAATTGTATATACTAATATAGTATTAAAGTTAATAAGGTAGAAAGTTATCAGATATATACATTATACAAACAATAAAATAATTTTGATTTCTTATTTTGAAATTGAACATTGAAAAGTACAAGTTATTTGGATCCAAATCTAACATAATTCATTGAATATAGAAGCAGGTAGTAAGGAAAATAAAACAATGGAATTGATTTTATGGATAGTCAATGTTGAGCTGGCCATGGAATTATCTGGTAGAATTGCCTCAAGAAAATTCAATAGTGTTCAACAAAGTAAGAGAATCTGAGCAAAGGAGCACGATGAAAACAAAGCCATTTCCAAAAAAGGTCTCAACTTGGGGATAATGAGGACTATGGATTGAAGTGTGTCAGCCCAAATTCATGTGTTGAAGCCCTAACTGCCATGTGATGGTATGAGGAGATGGGGGTCTTCGGGAGAAAATTAGCTTTAAATGAAGTCATAAGGGTGGGGCCCTCATGCTGGGATCAGTGCCCTTATAACAGGAAAAGACACTAGAGCTCTCTCTCTGCCAGATGAGGACATGATGAGAAGACAAGCCAGGAGGAGGGTTCTCACCAGGAACTGAACTGACTAACACCCCAGTCTTGGGCTTCTCAGTCTCCAGAACTGTGGGAAACAAGTGCCTGTTGTTCATGCCACACAGTCTATGACATTTTGTTATGTTAACCTGGCCAGACTAATACAATAAGATTTCACTGACTCTCATGTTGTTATATTTTTAAGCTCCTAAAAGGCTTTAATTTTTATTATAGTACAAAACAGAGGCCAACCAAGCACTACTACACCAGGAAGGTATTAGCCCAAGTTGTCCATTCTAAGCACCATCTTATTAGGCAAAACATAAGAAAAACATTTTAAAGGACTTTATATAAAATTCCTAACACCCACTCTCTCATAGCACCTAACTTCTCTGTAGCAGACAAAGATCACTCAGTGGAGGAGGAAAGAACACAGGGGCAGCACATACGTCTACTACTAGTTATCAGCTGCAGTTTCCTTAGAGAGATATCTCAGCTTTTAAGTAGATTAGTTCTTATAGGTGACAGGAGGATGCTGTGTGAGCATCAGACTACATGAGCATAAAGAAATGCAACCTGCCTCTTCTCATCAGATGGGATGGATAGTGACAATGATGTTCATGAGTTGTGGCAACTATACAGGATGTTTTTATGTTATTCCTCTGATTCTTAACCTAATTCTTACCTGGGATTATCTATTCATCTACTTGGGGAACTAAAGTTCTCAAGAGAGGTATCAGCAATATCAACTACTCCCTCCCTCCGTGGCGACTCAGTAGAGCCATTTGGGTCAGAGCCACAAGAATACAATGCTTACTTGACTCTTCATTAATTTAGCTAGAAATATATACATTCTTCAAACAATTGTTTCCAATAGCTTATAATCTCAATAGATACCAAATATAGTATATATTTAAATATAATCCATGTGTTTATGTAGATGCAGCATATATATTTGTAAATTTTTTGGAAAACTCTTAATATATATGTTTTCTTATTCTAACCTAAGCCACACTCTTAAGAATCCTAGAGACATGTGTTGGGCAGCTATTTACCCACGTTTTCTCAGGTACCACCAAGCCCTATCGATGCTTCCACTGTTGCATCCATAGTGGTTCTTGCCACAGCAAGAGATCAAATTCTGAGGGGATAGGTTGGCTGTGTATCGACCTTTGGACTGAATCGCTATGCGGTCAGCTGCTACACCTGTTTCAAAGAGAATATTGATTAATAGTCAAGTGACACGTGGTATTGCCAAGAATTTACATAGCGCTTTTTGTTTGAATCTTAAGCTAGTCTTGGAAACTTAATGTAACTAAAAATCAAGGCTAAATGTGATGAATATGTCTGTGTATTCCAACAAATTCAACTGTGTCATCATTTCAGTTACAGTTTTTGTCCAGTTTTGGCATTGCTTCATTGTCTTACCAACTTCACAGACTTCTCTAGTTCCTTGTTCCTTTCATGTTCTATATACTTCTGAATTTTTCATTAAGAAATTTGCCAAGTGAAACTCCTTGAGGGAAAGAGCTATATCTTATATTTATATCTCCTGTACCTAAAACATATAATCATGGCTTAAAATATATTTTTGAAGTGAATGTAACTAAACTCAGGAAATCAGAAAAACTGATCATAGAAATATTAATTGGAAATTCATCCATGTTAATCTGATGTATTGGAATAAATTAAATCTTTGGTTTTTAAACTAATTGAGACTAACATGAATCTACATTATAAACTATCAAAAAGCTACATAGCACATTTTTATGCTTACAATTTTCTTGAACATTATGATCCTAATCTTATCTTAGTAGACGTGGAATTCACCTTGTTTTATATATATATACCTTTTGTGATTGAACCCTCTATTTGTTTAAATAATTCCCTAGCATGGTTGTTGTTAATCAGTTTGTTCCTTTCCCCAACACACATTTGTTGACCACCTACTAGGTGACAGGCACAGGACTAAGCAGTAGAAATTGCAACAATGAACAAAAACCAAAAGAGTCATCATACTGTCCTCATAGAATAATAGACTAGGGAAATTAATCAACCAGTGGCAGAAAACTACTATGTGAGCATTTTGATCATGCTACCATGATAATATGTGTGTTGAGATCACAAGAAAATTGGAGTCAGTGATATTCTCGTACAGATTTTTTGTTGTTGTTGGAGACCTGATATAGTCTTGTTCTTAATCTCTTACTTTTGATGAAAGGCAACAAAGTCATAACCTTCCTTCTATCTATGCACTTTTCTCAGAAGTTATTGTTTTCATTCATCAAAATTATCTGTGTACTGAAGCCCCTCAAGATGCTAGTTTAGAATTATTCTAAAATAATTCATTTTAAAATAATTCCTTTACATATGTATTTCTGCATATACATGTTTTTTATGTAACTACAGCATATGTACAATTCTGTAGTGTAATTGCTGGCACATTTTAGACACTCAGTGTGTGTTGAATCTATATCCTCCTACTTCCTTCTCAATTCCCACCTATTTTGTGCTAGGTACATTTCATAAGAGCAAATGCCATTATACCACCATCTCTCTTAGTCTCAAGAAAATAATTCCCTGTTTCATAAAAGAAAATAGAAATTCTTTGATGCTTCAACTTTCAGTACAAGCATTCAGAATCAAGTATATTTTTCAAATGTTAGTGTAACTATTCTTGGTTCAGAAAAGACTTTCACAAATAATACCGAAGGAGTCAGAAGCCTGGCTTCTGGGATCACTTCCGAGACTTCTCGCCTTTCACTTTGGTCAGGTCCCTTCCCCTCTTTGTGCCTCTTTTACAAAACCAAAGTCTTGAAAAGGGGGACCTCTAACACCCCCTCCAGCCCCATGAATCTGTAGATTTCAACTAAAGGATAAGGGTTTAAATTGTGATGATCTTCAATACATTGCTTTTTTACAGACATTTCTGAATCTCAGTGAAGGTTTAATCCAAATTCACTTGAAATGCTTGGAAAAGGTCAGAAGATTTAAGAATGACTCAGTTCAGCAAATTGCTTTCCACTCTCTCTATGAAAACTTTCATTGGGCTTTACCTCTGAGACTCACACTATTATTTTCCCTGCTTATTTTATTCTGTCTCCAAGTTTGCTCTGCAGTATGTATTGCCCTCACCATTTCAAACTCCTTCACCTATTAACTTCTGACATCTTGCTTGAATTGTATTTGGCTGCATAACAATATTTTTATATGTGTGTATATTTTTAAATTGTATTTATCCCATTTTATAGTTTTTAGCTTCTTTGAAAGACTTTTCTTTTTTTAACTACAACTTCCTGACAATTTTCTAGGTCTTTAAGAGACCCTAGAATATTCTCTTCTTTACTTAACACATTAAAAAAAAAATAGCATCAGCCTGATTTGATGTATTGAATACACAGGATACAAAACTGTGTCATCTGTTAGGTAGAGGGACAAATCCAGACTTAGCCCTGTGCTGAGGCCATCTATGGGGCTGTGACCTGGGGATACCAGAGTACACAGGCCAAATCAGCCTAGTAAATTACTTTCAGTATTTTACCACCAATGTCTTTCCTAAGACATGTTCAGAAATACTGGTCTAACTTAAAGTAAAATTCTTATATAACCCCTAAGAGGTGTAATACATTAAGCACATGAACATAAAATGACAAATGATTTATATGATTAAATCTGTCCCCACCCAACTAGAATAGGGCTCAAAGAGGTCAAGAGAACGTTTATACTTGGGGAGTAGGCATTAGTGTAGAGGTAACAGATGGAGATGCTCCAGAGGTGAGTTCAGCCAAATGTATCTTTTCTAGAACGAACTGGCTCATACTATGAAGTGATGATATTTAGACAAAGGATCAGCACTCCTCTGTGCCAAGGAGTGTAACCCTTCAGAGCTTATGAACTTATTTCATGATGCTTTCAGTACTTAGTCTTTTGAGCACTCTTTTGGAATTATTTTTAAGCCTAGACCACAGTTTTATGAAACTGATCTTTGATAGTAGACAATCAATGTCATATTAGGCTTAATTGCTGTAATACAACCAACACGCTTTTGAGGATAATTTGGAGACCAAATCTTGGGATTAACCTGAATATCGATTTACTGGACTTGTGAAAATATATGAAAGTTGCTGCAGCAGAGGTATGTATTCCTCACACAGTGGAAGCAACAGCAACCTTAATTTGGAAACTGCTCTTATTAGAAGATCAACTATATCACTTTAGAGTCAGAATCTACATAGTTGTTTTTATCTAAAATGAGATAAAACCCATTTAATCCATTATTACTAGTTCTGAATTCTTACTTTACATCAAATCTACTAGTTTAATAATTAAATATATTCTTGCAGATCTTATCAAGTAAAAAGAACATAAGAATTATATGTCTGTGTGATATGCATATTAGGATTACAGATGGTACTATAGGCAAAGAGGAACTTTATACTCTTATTATCTGGCCTTAACTCTCAAAGAACAAATAAATTTTGGTAACTTCTTTGCTGCTCTTTTGATCTACTCTCTATTTAAAATTAGATGCTAAAAATAAACGCCAATTTTCAGAGTAAAAACATATTTTTATATCATTTTCAGGCTGCTTTCTCTGGCCAGAGTAAGATTTTAAATTGACCAAATGTTAATATTTAACTGTTCTAAATTAAAAACCCTTTTAATTACTATGTCAAGATCTAGAGTCAAAGGGAGATTTATAAGGAAGTAATTAAAATGATTTTATTACTTGCAGTAGAAAAAGCCCAGGATGCAGCACAATTTTTTTGATCCAATGGGCCATGGGTCCATCCAGGCCATTTGTAAGAAGCAATAAAGAATTCCGGAAGATCAGTTGTTTCAGGTAAATAAGCCTAAAGAAGAAGTAGAGGCAGAGGTGTCAGCGTTTTTCAAATATATTCCAAAAACCATTATGAGAAAACACCATGCCCTTTTAAAATGTTTGTCACTGTTTTTTATTTTGTACATTCAATTTTCTGAATGGCATCCCTGAAAAGAGTTATTTGTGTAAGATATCTATTTCACTCTATGTTTAAAAATGGCAATTCAATGTGGGGAATCATAATATATATAGTACAAAATCGTAAGAACAAACATAGAATGTGGTACCATATGGTGCAATAATTTCGGCCATTGTTTCTGTCATCTTGAATCAGAGTTTTGGTCATCCCTGTGGAAGACCACATGATGTTATTTAAATTTGGCCTCATAAACAATGTTTACTTTTATATCCCTCCTACATTGGAGAGTGTGTGCACTTCGGATGTGAAATTAATTTGGAAACAATGCATTTGTGACAAATATGCATTAACTCACTTGGAGCCCCAAGAAACACCAATTTTGTACCAGCTATTGGGAAACAAAACTGGGATAAATTGATGGATAGCTATAAAATCCTTGAAGAATAAAAAGAACTTCAGAAATCATGTAATGTCAAACATACAATGAATGCCAAGATGTCTTCAGAGTCTATGTTAGGTCCTGACAGTTTCAGCTGCTCTCTTTCCAAGAAGGCAAATTAAACCTATGGACCTTGCTCTGTTCATGTCACTCAAAGAAAGTCTAAAGCCCTATAACCTGGTTTTTTTCTTTCAAACTCCTAAAGACTAATAAGTTTTACTTCCATAAATAATCAGTATTCCAACAAAATAAGGATGTGTTTCTTAATTTTCTATCACTTATGCATACACATACATTCACACACACATAATTTTTGAGAGTGCTTTAACATTTTTAAAGTGTTTTATTTTCTCAATAGCGTTATGTGATATAATCAGGGAAAATATTATTTACTCTATTTTACGAATGAGGAAACAAACCTCTAAAAGTTAAATGACATACTAAGTCCTCTCACTTAAATAAGAAATACCCCTGAGACCAGACCCAGATATTAGATTTCTTAACACTGTGTTTCATTCATCATTTAGCCACTTTATCAGAAATAAATGGATACTTTGCAACAGAAGTAAAATGTCTACTGAAAATTTTTATGATTGTTCATTGAACAAGTCAGGCTACTGATCCAATATCTTGCCCTGCAAAATTACTTCTGACAAGTATAAAGCAACTTAAGAGAATAAAGGAAAATTTTAAATGTACACTTCTGCTTGAAAAGATATCCATCCAAAATATTTATAAATTCGAATTTCAATGAAAGAGTTCAGTTTTGACTCAAAAAACTATTATCATATGATAAGAAAGTGATTAAATCCTGAGTTTCATTACTAAAAACACTGCTATTTAGGTGATAGAAGAAAAGTGCCAGATCTTTAAGCAGATCATGGTAGGGTATCTACATGAGAACTTAAAGAACAGTATCATAGAAATCCTAGAAATTCAGGTGATTTTAGATTCCTGTGCCATCAGATTGGCCATAGAATTGGAGCAGAATAAATTTACTGCTCTGAGTAGATAGTTTCAGAAACATAGACTAATTCTCCAAAGGAGCCTTTCTACCTGGGACAGAGATACACGTACCCTATACATTACTCATATTTTCCAATTGTATTATTATTGGCTAATCAGTGTGCTTTTAGGAATTTATAGTATTAAGTTGCCTCATGTTCCAGAAAAATAGCTAGAGTGTCACTGTTATTTTAATTTATTACTTTATAATTCTAATTTAATAGCAGAACTAGGATATTTCTGTTCTGCTCTGTGGAAGCAGTAAAGAGATAACTATGACTTCAGACAGATCTCATCAGGATTAAGCTATTCAGAATCTGATGTCCCCATTCCAAAGTTGACCAGAGAACTTTGCACATGGAGGTATTCCATAAATATCTGATAATAATGAGGAGATACATATCTAGCTGGTAGATTTCATCACTTTAAAATATCATTTTCCTCCCAAAGGCACATTAAATTAAATTATAATGACAGCATGCACTTGTTTTCTTATGATTTATTGTTTAAAAATAAAAATCTATGAATGGATAATCCTTCTCCATAAGATAAGGCAATAGAAAAACAACAGGAAAAGTGCCATATTCATTGAAAACATATTTACCAACCCACTAAACCAGGTCAATTCATGAAGCTCACCTGTTGGCTCTGTCATGATTTTTACCAATTAATTAATATTGTGTTTCCTAAAAATAAACCCATAGGATTTGAGGCCCAGTAAGCACATATTACCTTGCAATTTTATTTACCTTATGATACCAGATGATCTGATATAATAAGCTCAGGGCAAATTTTACAGCTCATTACTCCATAATTATTTCATTCCCCTATAAAGTAAGAGTGTTTTTAAGGGCTTATAAATAAAAGTAAACACCACAGAATAACAGCTTTTAGGAATTGGTAATAGAAGTCTGGCTTCAATAAATGATTTTTTTTTTTTTTTTTTTTTGGTCAAAGGATAGCTTCATAAAGCAAAAAAGTCAAGCGAGTCAGCTGACAGAGACAAAAATTCCAAAATGATAGTGGCTTAAGATAGAAATTTAATTTTAAAAAGTTTTACACTATTACATATGGGCATTTTTAATTATTTCCATTATAATGTTGAAAAATTTCAGTCATAATCTAATTCTATTTAAAAATTAATATTAGTCAAACTTGAATAGTCTCCCTGCTTTAATATTTCAATTTAGATATTAAAGATACTGTGAACAAATGTAAGAATTAAATTCAATGGTGAACACTGGAGAATTTTTTACAATAATTCGTGCATTTTAATCAAATCAAAATCTCTAAAAGTAATGGAAACTTAGTCACAGAACAGCTTGAGAACAAACCAATCAAATTCTGGACATTCAGGACATTCTTATTAAAAGCCCATATAGGGGCTTCCCTGGTGGCACAGTGGTTGAGAGTCCGCCTGCCGATGCAGAGAACATGGGTTTGTGCCCGGGTCCGGGAAGATCCCACATGCCACGGAGCGGCTAGGCCCGTGAGTCATGGCCACTGAGCCTGCATGTCCGGAGCCTGTGCTCTGCAATGGGAGAGGCCACAACAGTGAGAGGCCCGCGTACCACAAAAAAAAAAAAAAAGCCCATATCTACACAATATCTACTCAGTGAATCACTCCCTTCATCCCTAGTTGCATTTACTCCCACTTAAACTTGGATAATGAGTGACCTGAGAATCAGAAGAAGGCAACAGAGAACATCATTCTCTTCTGACCTTCACAATCCAAGGTCAGTGGCCATGCATACTAAGAAATGCCTTCTAAGGTACTTGATATTGGTGGGGAAAAGGCTAACTTTTTCGTTGTTAACAGCAAAATGAATTTTTCATCTTCAATAATATTTGCCTTGATGTCTTAACTCTGAAAGAGTTATGCTTTGATAATTTGCTAGTTACTGTTTTTTTTAACAATCTAATTTCTTGTACATATCAATAATCAGTGACCACACTATGGCTGGTGGTGCCAGTTCTCCAGGGCTCCTGGTTTGAATAGGCTTTCCTTTTATTCGTAGTGATAATTTTAGCTCAGTACCTGCAAGCTCAGAAAAATGACTATATTTCCTGGTCTGCCTTGGATCCCAGGTGTGGCCACATTACTAAATTCTGACCCATGGAGTGTAAGCACAAGTGTCACTGGCAGCTTCTGAGAACTCTTCCTTAAGAGACGTTTGGCACTTGATTTTACTCCTTTTTATTGATCTTTTTAAAAATTTTCCTGTTGGCAGGAATTTGGGTATAGATGGACATGCAGCAGCTTCTTGAACCATTATATGACCTCAGATATAAAGGCTCTGGAAAATAGAACAAGGAGGAAGAAGCCTGGGTATCCAACACCAAGGAGTGCAATTCTACCATCCACCTCCAGTTTTGTTGGTAAGAAATCAATTTCTATTTAAGTCACTATCATTTTGGACTTTTGTCACTCTCTGATGAGCCCAATCAAAGCTAAAACAGCACGCAGAACTGACATTAAAGATGCTATGGTAGGAGAGAGGGGGAAGATGGTGGAAGAGTAAGACGTAGAGATCACCTTCCTCCCCACAAATACATCAGAAATACGTCTACACGTGGAACAATTCCTACAGAACACCTACTGAACACTGGCAGAAGACCTCAGACCTCCCAAAAGGCAAGAAACTCCCCACGTACCTGGGTAGGGCAAAAGAAAAAAGACAAACAGAGACAAAAGAATAGGGACAGGACCTGCACCAGTGGGAGGGAGCCGTGAAGGAGGAAAGGTTTCCACACACTAGAAACCCCTTCGCGGGTGGAGACTGCGGATAGCAGAGGGGGGGAGCTTCGGAGCCGTGGAGGAGAGCGCAGCCACAGGGGTGCGGAAGGCAAAGTGGAGAGGTTGCCAGGCCTTTTCCACTGCAGGCTCGCCCTGCATTCCGTACCCCTCCCTCCCCCTGGCCTGAGTGAGCCGGAGCCCCAAATCAGCGGCTCCTTTAACCCCATCCTGTCTGAGAAGAACAGACACCCTCCAGTGACCTACACGCAGAGGCAGGGCCAAATCAAAAGCTGAACCCCAGGAGCTGTGCAAACAAAGAAGAGAAAGGGAAATCTCTCCCAGCAGTCTCAGGAGCAGCGGATTAAATCTCCACAATCAACTTGAAATACCCTGCATCTGTAGAATACCTGAATAGACAACGAATCATCCCAAATTGAGGAGGTGGACTTTGAGAGCAAGATTTATGATTTTTTCCCTTTTCCTCTTTTTGTGAGTGTGTATGTGTATGCTTCTGGGTGAGATTTTGTCTGTATAGCTTTTCTTTCACCATTTGTCCTAGGGCTCTATCTGTCCGTTTTTTGTTTTGTTTTGTTTTGTTTTGTCTTCTACTTTTTAAAAAAATTTCTTTCTGAGTAATTATTTTTTCATTTTAATAACTTTATTTTATTTTACCTTACTTTATTTTATTTTTTTATCCTCTTTCTTTCTTTC